AATCGAACCCGGGCTCCTCAGTCCACAGGCCGACGCTCTATCCACTGAGCCAAACCGGCTAGGGCCCACCCTTCTTTCTAAGCTGAGTTCAGAAGCACCTCTCTCTGGGCTGTTTTCTCTGCTTAGGTCCACCTAATCCTGACACTCTTGTGCGGACTTTGCCTCACACTGACAGGTTCTGGCTTCACTGCTCTGTTAATTCCCCTCTGCCACAGGTGATGTTGCACATGTTCCTGCCTGTCGTCACAACTAGGTCATGCCTGCTGTGACCCACCCGCACAGCTGCTCAGTCTTCGTTTTACCTATGCTCCTCCCCACCCCCAGGGCCTGTCCACATTCTGCAGAAAGCAGGCGCTCTCTCTGCACGACTGCGCGGCTGCTGCCGTTCCCTCTCCTGGCGTGGGACTGTCTCGCAGTGTCCCCAGGCAGTCTCTTTTGGCAGCATGGTACATGTCTGAACCTCTTCAGTTCTCTGTCGTTCTGTTTGTTTGTGGTGTGTGTGTGTGTTTTCTTTTCAAAAGAGAAGTACAGTTTCGCTTCCGGATGCAAAGACAGTGTTGTTGTCAGTGTTTATTCCTCATTCTGCCCCTCTAATCAATAGAATCTCCATTTCTCCATCAAGAAAAGCTTTCTAGGGAGATACCTTCGTCCATCCTGGCTGCCGTAACAAATGCCACAGACCGGGTGGCTTAAAAACAACAGAAGTTTGTTTCTCACAGTTTTGGAGGCTGGAAATCCAAAATTAGGGTGTCAGTCAGCATGGTTGGTGAGGGCCCTCTCCAGGCTGTGGACTGCTCATGGCATCCTTACAAGACAGAAGGGCTGCCCTGGGCAGGTTGGCTCAGTGGATAGAGTCGGCCTGTGGACTAAAGGGTCCCAGGTTTGATTCCAGTCAAGGGCACATGTTCAGGTTGTGGGTTCGATACCCGGTAGGGGGCGTGTAGGAGGCAGCCAATCAGTGATTCTCTCCCATCATTGATTTTTTCTATTTCTCTCTCCCTCTCCCTTTCTCTCTGAAAACAATTATATACATGGTTAGGGAGCTTTGTGGGATCTCTTTCATAAGAGCACTAATTTCATACACAAGGGAATCACCCTCATCACCTAATTACCTCCCAAAGGCCTCATCTCCTAATGCCATCTCCTTGGAGGTTAGGATTTCTACATATGAAGCTGAAGGGGAAGGCGGGGCAGGGGGCACAAACATCCAAATCCAGCAGGAAAGAGCAATGGTGGCAGCTAAGGTGAAGGGACATATAGATCAGCAAGTATTTTAAGCCATAGAAGCCAAGGCAGAACCATTTCTTGGGTTTCTTGGGGAAAAGAGGAACCTGGGACTAGGGAAGCCACCCACTGCTCCCAGTACCAGGGCTAGAAAGTCATTTTCAGCCAGCAGAGGGCGCAAGTTCACAAATCATCTCTAAGGTCTGAACACCACTCATCTGGAGTTTGAATTTGGCTAAGAGTATTCCTAGGGTTTCCCCTTTGGGAGATGTTTACCTATGGTGAATATTTTTTTAAAAAAATTCCTGTTTTAATTAACTGTTGAAGAAAGTATGTTGCATATTTCTCTAGTCACTGCTTCCTGCATGCAATCAATTTTAAATCGTTTTAAGTTAATTCTCTGAGGTTTTCTAGGACGAGGGTATCTGCAAACAATGACAAATTTCATCCTCCTTTCCAAAAGTTATAGCCCTTATTTTTGTCAGGTGTTTAATTGAACTGCCTAGAACTTCTAGAATGATTTTAGATAATGAAGGAAATGAAGAATAGGGGATTCTTACTTTGTTCATGATCTAATAGGACTATGCCTAGGACCTTACAGTTAAATATCACGCATCTACTGATTTCAGCTAAGCTATTCTTAATCGAGTTAAGGAAGTGTCCTTTTATTCCTAACTAGAGGCCTGGCGCACGAAATTCTGCTCAGGCCTGGTCCCTAGGCCTGCCCTGTGATCACGGCCATCTTCCCCAGCTGCCCGCAGCCAGCCCCATCCCCCCCATCACCCACCCCAGTTCCCTGTTTGCCATCAGGCAATCGGAGCCTGCTGACCGGGGGAGGGATCCAGAGGTTGGCCATTCCCTCCAGCTCGCTGGCCCCGCCCTCCACCACCAGTGGCCCTCTGTGTGTGGGGCAGCCGGCAGGGCGGGGGCCTTGGCCTGGTGCCGGTCATGTCTGCCACCACCCACCCCCGGTTCCCCAACCCATCCTCCCGCATCACCCACCCCAGTTCCCCGTTTGCCATCAGGTAATCGGAGCCTGCTGACCGGGGGAGGGATCCAGAGGTTGGCCATTCCCTCCAGCTCGCTGGCCCTGCCCTCCACCACCAGCAGCCCTCTGTGTGTGGGGCGACTGGCAGGGTGGGGGCCTTGGCCTGGTGCCAGTCATGTCTGCCACCACCCACCCCCGGTTCCCCATTCTCTATCAGGCAATCAGAGCCTGCTGGCCGGGGGAAGGGACCAAGAGGTGGGCCTGCAGGCCCCGATCCAGGGATCAGGCCCTGTGGGCTGGGGGAAGCTGCTGCATTGAGCATCTGCCCCCTGCTGTTCAGTGCGTGTTATAGCTACCAGTCGTTCTGCCATTTGGTCGATTTGCATATTATGCTTTTATTATATAGGATAGTTCTGGAGTTCAGAAGTCCAAAGTCGGTCTCAATCCAGGGATCGGGCCCTATGGGCTGGGGGAAGCTGCTGAATTGAGCGTCTGCCCCCTGCTGTTCAGTGTGTGTTATAGAGACCGGTCGTTCTGCCGTTTGGTCGATTTGCATATTACCCTTTTATTATATAGGATTGGTTAAAAAGGAAACAACAAACCAGGAATGGATATTACATTTTATTAGATTAAATTTGGGAAGTTGCTCTTGTAGTAACAGATTGTGATACCGGTTGGTGTTTATCAGGCGGTATTTGCCATCTCTCGTTCATAAGAAACAGTGAGTTCAAAGGTTGAGCGATAGTGGGCCTTCTAAGTGGACTATTTAAAGTTCTGAGGGCAAAGCAGGATCACTCAGCAGGCACAGCTCTGAGGAAGGGACACACCCTGGGCTGGGCAAGAGGAAAAGAGGAGCTGGTGGTGGCCATTTTATTTAAAATGTTTAAAGAAGTTGTTCGCTGCCAATAATTAAATAGCTCAGAGGTTAATTTAATCGTAAGACTGCCAAACGGGACTCTACTATAGCTGATTAAAATCTTTTAAAACAATTTTCTTATTGAGACTTCCCCACGTTCCCTACTGATCTGCTTCAGTGAGCTCAGACTCAACCTGGAAGCTCATCCTAGCTTCCCATACGAGCCTTTCTTGCTGAGATACAGCCTATTTTTTCCTCCCAAGCCTTGTTAAAACGCATACACACACACACACACACACACACACAAGCTTCCCATCTGATCCTTTCTTGCTGAGATACAGCCTATTTTTTCCCCCCAAGCCTTGTTAAAACGCACACACACACACACACACACCCAAAACAGAAAGTAATTCCCTACAAAATAAGTACGAGAATTTGTAGAGAACTTGACCCCCTTTTAAAAGCAGACCCTGGAATTCACATGGCCACTTGAGAGTATTCCACGGACTCGGAGGCAGCAGGGTTCACAAAAGTCCAGAAATTGTGCTTGTGGCTTTTTGGGTCGACATTGACGTAATCTGTCACGTCCTCGATGTCCTCATAGTCCAACTCTCACACAGAGAGGCTTGCCCTGGGCTGGATGAGACGGAGCCTGGGTCCCAGGCAGTCACGGCCGAGAGAAGGGTCAGGGCAGTGAGGAAGGTTGCCAATGCCTTTGTTCCTCCGGTCTGCAGAGGATGAATGGGTGTAAGGGAGAGAGATGGAGAGAATCAATTCAAATGAGGTCAGGACTCAGAGCAGTGGCCCAGTGACTGGGATACGGGGAGAAGGAGGCTTCCCATTAGCACTCTCATTTTTTTTTTTTTAAAGGGTAGTGAGCCTGATTTCAGAGAGAGGAAGGGAGAGGGAGAAAGAGATAGAAACATCAATGATGAGAGAGAATTGTTCATCGGCTGCCTCCTGCATGCCTCCTATTAGGGATCGAGCCTATAACCCAGGCATGTGCCTGGACCAGGCATCTAAACTCAACCTCCTGGTGCACGGGTCATGCTCAACCACTGAGCCACACTGGCTGGGCAATATGTTTAAGCTATTTGTACCTTTATACTTAAACTGTGTTTCTGTAGACAGCACGTAGTTAGGTCTTGCTTGTTTTATGCCATATGATAATTACTAACTTTAGGGAAATTGCTTAGACCATTTTCATTCAATGAGATAATAGAGTTATGTTTAAATCATCTTACAATTTGTTTTCTGATTT